GACCCAGTACGTCAACCATCAATTGGGAGCGGGGCTCCCAAGAATCCCAGGACGGGGGATAGCCGCGCCACCGGACGAGGTAACTCGTCCGACGTCCGTTCACGTCGCGGTGGTTCAACAGCTGCTCAACTAGATAGCGCTGGCCACCGCGAGAGTCCTCTAATGGAGGTGGAGGAGGAGGAAAGACGCTCTCCACACGATCATGTGGATCGGTGTGTTCCCGAGAGCTTCTTTGATCGCGTAACGCAAGGGTTACGCGACGATCTCGAGCATGAGCGGAATAGGCGTCTCCAGATGGTGGACACTGCCTCGAAGCATCGAGCTGAGTTTGCCTTTGCTCAGCTTGAGAACGAGAGATCTCTGACATCTCTTCGTGACGAGCTAAGGGTAGCTCGTGGGATTGTTGATCGGTCTCGGGCTGAGATAACTGCTCTTCAGACCCTTGTTGATGCCCACCATCGGGAGCACAAGGCTCTCTGCGAGATGCTTGAGCGCAAGGGCGTTCTTCATCGGAAGAAGCAGCGTACTGATGGTACGGCTTAAGCCGACCAACGTAAAACGTGGGATGCGTTCGCATCTTACGTGGTAACTCGATCGTGTATGCATTGCCTAGGCGGTGCAATACACGAAATGGGCCAATGTACTTGGGTAGTAGTTTACTGCTACCCAAGTTAGTCACTACATGTTTTGGTAGATTAACCGTAGACAGTAGGACTAAGTCACCTTTATTAAATAAAAGAGTGTTTGCCCTTCCATTCTTGTCAGCGTTTTGCTTTTTGCTTATCCACCGCTTCGGCGATGGAGTCTTGCACAAAACGGACTACCGTTTCACGAGCCAGTATGAACTCATCTGATGACTCGTTAGCTTCAGTGTGCTGTGAGCGCACTGCAGCGACAACAACCTTTTCTTCAGTGAGGGCTTCCGCACTCTCACTGGGATCATTGTCTTCAGCGAGGGCTTCCGCACTCTCACTGGCATCATCTTCTTCGATATCGATGTTATCGATATCGGCATCAAACGCAATGACTTCTTCGTCAGAGCGTGATGAGCGTGAACCAAATCGGTTTTTGCTCGCGCGAGTCCCTCCCCCCTTAAACCAGAGTTACACTCTAGTAAGGTGGGTACACGCGGATGGCGCAAGCCATTCACGTAAAACGGTGTATGTGTCGTGGACGCATGCACCGAGTTGTTGATGGCAAACTCTACCATTGGCAAAAACTCACTCCAACTCTTAAAGGAGTGTACGTATCCTCGAAGTATCTCTTCAAGGACACGATTGGCACGTTCCGTCTGACCATCTGACTCTGGATGATCAGATGTTGACATCTTCAAGCGCGTTCCGAGTGATTTGAACACGGAACGCCAGAAATCAGCAGTGAATCGGGGATCTCTGTCTGATACGAGTTCACGGGGCAACCCATGAAGTCGGAAGATGGTGTCAATAAAGACACAAGCACAGCCACTTGCCGTGATTGTCTCTGGTACAGCCACAAGGTGTACCATTTTGCTGAATCTGTCAACAAATACGAGAATACCCGTATTCCCGCGTGCGTCTTTGGGTAACCCGAAGACGAAATCCATTGAGATGGATTCCCAGCACTCAGCCGGAACCGGTAGAGGCTGTAAAGGTGCACGCAGTGAAGGACTTGACTTCACTCGTTGGCAGACTTCGCATGCGCGAACATACTTTCGCACAAACTGATACTGGCGGGGCCAGTAAAAGTCTCGACTTACCGTGAGATATGTTTTCTCTCGGCCACGATGTCCTCCTATAGGAGCATCGTGATACTCGAACATGATCCGCAAACGCAGATCAGTATCATCTGGAATGACAACACGTGGTGTGTCACCAGAAACGGCTGTATAGTACAGTAAACCGTTACGAGTAGTGTATCGATCTGATGCAGATCGATACGCAGACGACAATCGTTTCAACGATTCTCGAGATGGTTGGGAGAGATGTGACAACAACTTCACTATCTCACCATCTTGGGCGTATGCCCGCCTCACATCATCATACAACGTTGTAGATGGAACTGAGGACGTCATAACCGCAACAGTGACTGTCTCACTGTTGGGTTTCGCGACTGTTTCAAAGTCGGGACGACGTGAGAGTGCATCAGCGACGACATTAAGTCGTCCTGGTTTGTACTCGACCGTAAAGTTGTATTCTGCAAAGAATGACAACCACCGCGCCATTCGTTGTGAAAGGTGCGGGCTGTTCACTGCCGTGCGTAAGGACGCATGGTCAGTGTAAACAACGAAGGGTCTATCTCCTAATAGATAGACTCTGAACTTCGCGAGTGCATACTTCATGGCAAGGAGTTCCTTGTCATGCACTGGATAGTTCCGCTCAGCTGGTTGCAGCTGACGCGACTGATAGCAGACGACGCGTTCAACGCCTTCAAGGTCGTACTGCATTAATGCACAGCCGATTGCGAAATCGCTGGCATCACAGACCACATGAAATGGCCTGTCCTGATCGGCTATTGCTAGGACTGGGGATTGTATCAAGCTCTGCTTGATACCCTCAAAGGAGCGTTGACATTCAGCGTTCCATAACCACCTCTCGTTCTTTTTCAACAAACGAGAGAGGTGCACAGTCATCTCGGCGTAATTGCGTGAATACTTATGCAAATACGCCGCTAGCCCAAGGAATTTTCGAAGACCTTTGACATCGACCGGCACAGGCCAGTCGGTGATCGCCTTGATCTTTTCGGGATCAGGACGTACACCGTTCTTACCAACGATGCACCCAAGAAGTGGTATTTCGCTTGCTGCAAATATACACTTCTTGAGGTTTGCATACAATTGATGCTTTCGCATGATTGTAAGAACTTGTCGGACGTGGTACTTGTGAACCTCAACGTCCGACTTTCCATCCATAGCTCGACTATGGATGAATACGTCATCGAAATAACTCGGCGCGAATTCTCGTACTGGCCTCAACAGATGTGATACACATCTGTTGAACGTGGCAGGGGCATTACTGAGCCCTTGTGGCATTACTAGCCATTCCCAGAGCATGCCGCTAGGCGTGCTAACTGCGGTATAGGGTATATCCCGTTCCCGCATTAGGATTTGATAGAAGCCATCCATCAAATCCATGGACGAAAAGATGGTACTCTTTGACATACCATCAATGATTACGTCCTTCCTCGGTATCGGCGTCTGAGCCGGTACCGTTGCAGCGTTCAATTTGTTAAACGCGTGCACTATCCGCCACCCTCCTGTTGCTTTTCGCACACAGAAGGTCGGAGAGCTATGTGGGGAAGTTGATTCCCTCACATGGCCCGCTGCTAAACGATCGGCAAAGAACTTGTCGATCGCAAGTACTTGTTCACGAGGCAGTGGCCACTGCTTCATGACACAGTACTTCGAGCCTGGTTTAAGCTCGACTTCGTGTCGAATACCTTTATCCTTCGGTAATTCGCACGGAACAGTTTCAGGGAATACATCCTTGAATTCAACCAAATCTTCATAGAGAGGATTTTCCTTGAGCGATTCCCATGATTGGGACTCATATCGCTCAATTCGTGTCTTTTCATCTAGGACACTCTCGTCCATAGATGAACTACTGAGAACTCTCTCGTTCTCAGTAAACACTGTTGCTGACCTTATGTCGGTTACATACTCGTCGTCAGCGACGAGTATGCAGATCTGCTTGACTTTGCCACTACGCAGATCACGCAAGAACCTTTTATGTTCGAGCGTTGGCAACTGAGTGATCTCCGAAGTTAACTTCGGAGGCGCAATCAGATCAAGTGTATAAGCGCCTACACATGATCCGTTATTGACTATGACATTCAATGTCTCTGTCATTTCCTGGGGACTTATTCCCTCAGGCTTCGAAGGACTTATTCCTTCGTCTTCCCGGGGACTTATTCCCGCGGGTTTCGGGGAACTTATTTCCGCCGTATTTGTAATCTTGGGACTTATTCCCTTTACTTCCTCTAGCTGGGGTTGCGCAACCACAGCGAGATCCTCTACGAAAGACTCTCCAGTCGATCTAGGATTATCGTTTCGCTTAACCTGAGCGATCGATTGTTTCTCTTCTAGATGTTCCCCTCTAGGGATACATCTTTGTCCCAGTCCACCCGACTTATTCGAGTGGTGGACCTTCGGCGCAGCCTGTGTTTCCTCACAGCCGCCGGAACTTTGCTCCGAAGTGTAACCGTTTGGTACACTAAGGTTTTGTGCAGTCGTACTAACGACCGTACCACAAGTGAGGCCATCGCACTCACTCGTAGTACATCCACACGCTTGTGGACGCTCCAAAACGTTCATCAGATGGCCATCTGATGAACAAGCGGCAGGCATCGTTACTGTCCGATGTTGCCAGTTTACCCGTGGTTCGTACCTTCTGAGCCACGGTATTCCAAGGATGACATCAAATTTGTCATCCAAATCCAATACGATAAAGTCATCGTCATATTGGGTATCTTCTAGCGTATAGCGAATCTTCACTATACGCTTCATGACGGTTACGGATGCGCCTGTCGCAAGACGAACCGTCATCCTCGTAGGAGGTGTGTCACATTCACTGAATTTAAAGTGACCATCTTCTAGCGATTGGCGTCGCACAAAATTGTTAGACGCCCCACAATCGACTAGAGCTCGAAGGGACAACTTATTCGTCACTTCGAGTTTCAAGGTAATGAGTGAGATCTCATTACCTAGAGCAGCAACGCACAACGTCTGTGTGTTGGGAGCAACCTTCATCAAGAGGCCTACAAATTCTCTTGACGTTGCTGGATCAGTAGGGTGCTCCGCACCTACTGATCCTGTCCGTTTTTTGACGGTCCATCCCGTTGTTGCGTCTTTGCACCAACTGCGGACCCTCGTCCCTGCCCCTTTCTCATGGGTGGACGGTCACTACGCCCAGTGTCGCGAGACACTGGATGAGGGGCACTACACTCGTAAGCGTAGTGTCCTGTCTTTTGACATCTGTTGCATCTCTGCAACTTCTTGTAGCCTGTAGAGCGATCCTTCTCGCTCTCTACATAACAGAGTTCCATCGGCTCTGGACCTCCGCTGTTATATCGTCTCTGTGTACGCTATGATGTCGAGCTGCGCGACCCTGTCTCAGACTGAAGTCTTCCTGCTCCGCAATTGAAATGGCTTGTTCTAGTGAATCTAGTTCAAGCCGGAACAGGTGAGTCTTGACGGGACCATCCGCAAGACCCTGCATGAACACCGAAACCAACGTGTGTTCATCCACCGGATTGGAACTTATACAACTCGTGAGATGTCGTATATGTTGAGCGTAAGCGTGCACATCACGCTTACCCTGCTTGAGCTTCAAGAGTTCGGTTCGAGCTCTGAACTCAGCTCTAGGCGGTTCAAACGTTTGTCTGAGCCGCGACTTGAAGACTTCCAACGACCCAAACGCATATGGGTCGTGCAGCTTGAGCCCCAGTGCCCAAGTCTTGGCACGTCCTGCCAGATTTGACTGGGCAAATGCAACTTGCATATCCCCGTCGTCGATGCGACGCGCCCTTATGGCGTCATCCAATTCGACGAACCATCTCAAGAGGGAGTCCTCTTCGACTCCCTATACTTTGAGATGTCAATCTTCAAAGTCTCAGGCCGACGCGAGTGCATCGACCCGCCAGCAGCAGCCTGCTGCTGTCTCAACAGTTCAAACTGTTGAGCACCTTGTTCTCTCAACAACTCTGCTTGTTGAGAACCTTGTTGGTGAAGCAAGGCTACTTTCTCGCGTTCTGCGTCAAGTTCATTTTGAATGAACTTGGCGATAGTAGCATGTTGGGCATCTCTATTGAGAGCCTCTAGCATGACGCTAACAGCATGGATGCCCATGGTCGAACCCATTCGTTCAACCGCATCCCATTCGACATCGCTCAAATGGGAGTAGCCGTCACGCGTAGCGTGAAAGCTTTGGTCATCTTCATCATCCAACATATTCATGTTGGATGTGAACGCGGTCCTTGGACGGACTACGAAGTGCTACCAGGTGTAACGGGGCACCCTGAAGCTTGTACTGGTGACAGTACAAGCTACTTATTCTGATAACAGAATAAGGCGGTGCCTCGTAACTTCACGTACACTCGTACGTGCAGAGGAAGACGGTAAGAAGAAGCGAGTACTCGGTTAGAGTAAAAAGTAGAACTGTATTTATAATAGTTAATGTCTGCAATAAATCACTATTTATCTTCATCTAACTATGTCTAAATACAAATGTGTAAATCAGTTATCTGCTCACCACTCATTGCGTGCGTCTGTCGTGGCGCGTCTTCGTTGGTTGATATAATGGCCTATATCAACCAATTAGGAACTACTTGGAAGTGCTACAGAATATTGTCCTTATGACAATATTCTGAGAATATAACTCTTATAGTTATATTCTATTAACAATTTCTTATAAATTGTTATGTAACGATTCACCCCGTTACATGGCTCGTCCTTTCTTCAAGTCGTCCTGTTTTGATACCCGCTGTGCCCATGTCCTTGATTTCCACCAAGAAGTACCGAACTTGAGATGTTCCAACGGCTTCAAGTTGGGAACATATCACCCATAGGAGCCTGGAGAGGAGTTCTCAGGAATGATATAGAAGATGCACGATCAGGTGGGAAATCTGCCACTAAAATTTCTCAAGCAACAAACTCAGGATCATGTTTATGTAGTAGTCCCCCGGCAGTAGCTTAATATTTGATATTTGCGTGACGGAAAATGCCTCTGGCTTTGAAAATAAAAATTTAATGGAGTTTCTTAAATTGGCACGGGCCCAACAAGGTACTCGACCTTTTTATTATGTAAGGGAGATTATTACCTTAGAATATATATTAATTTACGGAGAATCTAATGTAGTGAAGGTGGTTAGCCGAACTTAAACCGTTCTTATCCATGTGCGTGTCTGTGTGTGTCTGTGGTTGTGTACCTTAATGTATGTTCGTTATGACGCGATTAGGAGTACCCTACACGTTTCAAGTGCGATCTAGCCTGCCCCCCACATAGGCATATAGGCATTTCCGAAGTCACCATTTGGCTAGTCACTGTGTTAAAGCACGAACGTAATTGGCATGAAATCGGTCAAAGGTGAATAAAATCACAAAAGCACAAGCTTACGCTCAAAGCAAATGCTGGACGATAAAAAGCAAAGGACAATCCCGTTGCCCAAGTATTCAGACTAGGTTGGTGCAAAATTTACAGCACAATGCTCTTCTTCATTAGCTGCTGCTGGGTAGTGTTTTGCCACTTGTTTCAGTTCACCGAACTGGATCGCTAATATTAAAGGGCTTGCTCTAGAGCTTGCTCCCCTATATTGTTTAAGAGCAGACTCCAGAGACTGCTCCTCTACATTATCTTTGATTCAGTCATTTCTGGCATGCCGCATCGCACCAACGTGTCGCGCTGCAGCAACGTTTCAGTCAGAAATGAATACGGAAGATGTGATGTGTTGATAAACAGTGAGCCAGCTGTATATGTCTACAACAAGTAGTCTTGCAGATGTCAGAGATTACAGGCAGTCCCTACAACCGTCAGACTCGTCAAGATGCATGCCACTGAATTAATATCGTGGATGCGTTCTTTTGTATATAGGAAGTGGCTTACTTCAAAATTGACGTGCAAATCAGCTTGCCTGCAGTAAATTGACGAAATGATGCAGCGGAAGCTTTCGAAGTAAGTGAGCGTGCATTTTACAATTGTGCTACAATGCAACGGTCTTTATCAAGCTAGGATCAATAATTGTAAGTTATGAACATGGACACCATCGCTATCTATCATTGCCTGTTCTTCATGTTAAAAATACGTACACTTCGCCCATGCACGGCGGCAACAAAAACACCAATTTTGATGACTTTGCAAGACATTGTTACTCGCTACTTTTTAAAGTATTTGCTCTACTTACTAAAATAGCAAGCTAGCAATGATTGTAACAGACCCATTCCAGTCATTGGGAAATTTGTGTCGGCCATAGGAGATGAACAACCCGTAACAATATCCATTCTTCGTTTGTCATCACAAAAGCCCTGTAGATTTTTATGTCACGACACTAACAAATTCAGATAGTGTCGTAAGCGACGCAGTTACTCATCCTTCTTTTACCTGAGGTATATGCTAAGATTAAAGAAAAGCAACGATAAATTCACCAGAGTAACACATTAATCGATGAAAAAAAGTGACCCAAAAGTTCGCCCACCGACTTTGGCGTGTGCGGTCACTTAGACTTCTTGTCTCCAAGGCGCTCCGTGCAGAGCAGCACGTGCCATCCAAACTGAGTCTGCACCTTTGTGAGCGTCCCAACTTTTTCCTCAAAAACGACCTTGTCGAACTGAGGCACCATCTCTCCACGTCCAAACATGCCCAAGTCTCCTCGTTTCTTGCCGGATGGACAAGTACTGTGTTTGCCGGCGAGTTCCGACAACTTTGTCTTCTTATCGTCCGCCGCGTCGATTTCCTCGAACAGCTTGTCCGCCTCGACTTCCGACTTGACGAGGATGTGGTACGCACGAGCTCGAGGACCCGTTTTTTCGCCTCGAGCGCCCATGACCATAATGGCTATAAGAATGACTGGACCGAGATACGGCATGACCTTGAGAAGCGTTTCATACAGTCCGCGGAACGTGTCTGGCTCTTCTATTCCGTCCGATCGTCGGGAAATGAGCACGAGATGCCAGCCAAATTGGGTCTTGACCTTGTGCACGATCCCAATTTCGCCCTCGAACGCAATTCGGTCGAACTCGGGCACCATTTGGCCACGACGGAACGCGCCCAAGTCTCCCCCTTTGCGACTTGACGGGCATTGACTGTGCTCTTTGGCGAGCTGGGCGAACTTAAGAAAGAGGTTGGAGGCCTCGCCCAGCTGTGCATTGAGATCGTCAGCTAGGACTTCGGATTGCACGAGAATGTGGCTCGCGTGCGCTTCGACTGCGACTGGAACAACCGCTTCGTCGGCAGTGCAGATGACAAAGCAAAGTAGGAGCGTCGATAAAAACGCCATCACGCCCTGTCGCGCCATTTTTGACTACGCGCTTAAGACGTCCTTTTCTTTTGATAGATGGTTTACGAGTGATACGCGTGGCGGGCGGCGAGCGAGCGATCTGGCAACGAAGTAAACAGGGGGTGAGATACACCAGCGAAACGTGTCCAAGAAAACTCCTGCTTTTCATCCAATCGAGATCGATCAGTCCAGCTCGTGTCTCGGACACAGGATTTTTGACTTCTACGTCAAAGAAAGTCCCTTCATCTAATGTGATACCTTTTTCACAGGACAAGCATGCGACGCACCGCTTTCTGCACGGGTTACGCTACATAAAAGATGTCCTGGAAGGTATTGATGATATCGCTGAGTGCCATAAACGTGCTTTATTGCACAGACCTCTAAAGCGCACACCTATAATGGTCTCATCGGTACAGTTATTCTCCCGCTGCATCGCTACAGATTCACAACCTTAAATACTATGTTCTTTTACACTACGCGATTCTTGTTATGTGAGCGAACGTACTCGTGCTCCTGTGTTGCACCGACGCTCGCATATAATTCAAGCTTCCGTAAACGGTTGATAATGTTCGTGAATATTACCATAAGGGGTAATATTCAGAAACACTCACCTATCGATTGGCTGATATGGGTCATCACGTCAGCCAGCTCTAGCGGTCCAATCAACGATGGACGCGCGCAATGCGTGGTGAGCAAGACTTTAGCGTACATTTTCGTACACAAACATCATGAGTTAGGACTAAAAAAAACATAGGTACATGCAATCGAATCTCAATTATAGTAAATGCAATTTTAACTTGTACACCATTTGAACGTGTCGTTTACTAGCTAGCCTTCATCTGTACGTACAAAGTACGTGACGTAACGCGCGGCACTACCCACACCGTTGTCGGTATAGGTGCACTAGTACTCAAGCAGTACTAGTGACAAGTGCCCGTTACACTATGTGATGCTGTGCCTACTTCTCTTAGTTTTAGAATCGATGCTTGTAGTTATCATTACACAATTAGTACACTTGCTGCCGTTATGGCATACGAAGCATCGTATTCTTCGATTCATGCAACTCCGTCCTTCCTTGGCGATACACTGCCTTCTGTGATTATTGTGTGCCGTGGGGTGAAGCTAGTGAGTGTGCGCAAGGTTGAAATGCCAAACGTTTAAATCGTACTAATCTGTCTGTTTGCGTCTATAAATAACGTGTTTCGGTGCAACTTATGTTGCAAAAAATACGCCTCGGCATGACGTTTCAGAAAAGTGTTCTATAGCTCAGCCGGTCTGGTATGGCAGTATCATCCCAAAGGTCACTGGTTCGATACCGGTGGGGCGTGCAGACAGTGAAGGTAAGCCTTCGGGATCTGGTGTTTGGGGTTCACCAGCACTGTACTGCCAGACAGTGACGTCCCCACTTTCGGTATGTTTGGGTGTTTAGAAACGCATGACCATAATTAGAAACGTACGACTACACTATTAGTAATGCGCGATGTGGTGATTATTATTGCGCGACTAGACGATAAGTAATGTGCGATGTGGCGATTACTAAAGCGCGATTAGACGATTAGTAATGTGCGATATAGCGATTAGGAACGTACAGTCGAAGAATCCTGTCGGCTTATAGTAGCAACAGACTTTGCGAACTAAGGACCTAAATATATTCACTTTGCATTTAACCAGCTTTGTCCAACGACTTTAGGTTATGAGCTCACACCCTGCAGACTCTGCCCAAGACCTCGACCACGCTTTCTCCATGGACGCCATGCCGATCACCAGCGCCCGCATCAACAGGTTCGCCGGAGTAAACTTCCATTCGTGGAAGTTCAAGATGCAGATGGTGCTGGAGGAGCGAGACCTGTGGGATAGCGTGAGTGGGGAGGTGAAGCTTGAGCACTGCGTGTCGATATTGGACCAAGCAACGTTCAAGAGGAAGTCGCGTAAGGCACTGGCGATCATCTGCCTCGCAATGGAGGACTCGCAGTTGCCACTGGTGCGCTCGGCGGAAAATGCGTACGATGCATGGTCGCTTCTGGAGGGACATTACGAGAAGAAGAGCTCGGCTAATAAGCTCTTTTTCGTCGCCTTTTCTTCACGACAATGATGGGAGAAGGTGATGACGTGCTAGAGCACATCAACAAGCTCAAGACCCTGGCGGAGCAACTCGACGCGGCTAGTGCTCCGGTCAGCGAAGACGACTTGGTCATCACTCTTTTGGCCAGTCTCAGCGAGTCCTATCAGTTCCTGATCACGGCGCTGGAGTCAAGGTCCGACTCGCTAACATTGGATTTAGTGACGTCTCGTCTGATGCATGAAGACTTGAAGCGCAAGGAGCAAGGTGGCGGAGTCGATGGATCCGTGCATGGGCAAGCTCAAGCGTTCATGGCACGAGACAACAAGCGAAACGGACGACCAGGTAAGAAGACTGGTGCGCGCCACAAGTGTGGAAAACAAGGACATCGGATCGCGGAGTGCCCCTCGCAGATCCAAGAAGACGCGGAACGACATCGATTTCAGCGTGCGAACGTGGCGCAAGATGAAGATCTTGGCGATTATCTGTTCTCGGTTGGTGGTGAAGTCGCCAAGTCGAGTAACGTGTGGCTGGTCGACTTGGGTGCGACGCAGCACATGACAACCTCTAAGAAGTTCATGAAGAACTACAAGGTCTTTAATCCGGTCGATGTGCACTTGGCAGACGATGGTGTCGTTCAAGCGATCGGAAAAGGCGACATCGTGATGTCAATGAAGACGCCACGCGGTACCAAGACAGGTGTGCTCACGGACGTGTAGAATATCCCGATATTATCGCGTAATCTGTTCTCCGTGGGTAGATTCACCAAGGACGTCGGGCCAGTCACCTTCGAAACCAACGGATGCTTCGCGGAGACGAAAGGTGTCAAGTGGAATCTCGGCGCTCGCGAAGACAAATGGCTTTTCGAACTCTGCATGACGCCAGAAGCGTCTAACGAGAAAGATTATCGATTCTAAGAGATCAAGAGTGGTCGTGTGCTGGTCAGCCGCGACGCACATTTTATGGAAGACGTCTTCGACAGTGGAAGACGCGACTACGTTCAAGCCGAAGTAGCTCTAGAAGATGAAGAAGGTTCAACGGATGAAGACTCATCGTGCTCCAACAAAGAAGAAGAAGAAAACGTGCGGGACAACGACATGATCTTCGTGGCACTTTACGTCGACGATTTGGTTATCGCGAGCAACAACAACGAGCTGCTCAAGTCTACAAAGAAGGCGCTGGGTGATCGTTTTGACATGACGGATCTGGGAAATCTCAGGAATTTTTTTTTCGGTATGGAAGTTGATCAAGATTTCACGGTTGGCACAATCTCGATTCGTCAGTCCAAATTCGCGAAGGACATCCTCGAGAAATTTGGCATGGAACATAGCAATCCAGTAAAGACTCCAAAAGAACCCGGGCTAAATATGACAAGGTCTATGTGCGAAGGACGATGCAAGCACGAAGACCCGATGGCAAGCATTCCATATCGCAATGCTGTTGGATGCCTGATGTACCTCATGGAAGGGACTCGCCCGGATCTCGCAGCTGCAGTGGGAGTGCTCAGCCAGTTCGTAGCGGGCCCTTGTCCGACACGTTGGCAAGCACTTAAGCGCGTGTTCAGGTACGTCCAAGGCACACAAACCCATGGAATTGAATTTAAGCCACAAGCAATGACAAGCTTCAAGGCTACTCAGATGCAGACTGGGCTGGTGACGTGGAAACTCGACGAAGCACAAGTGGATACGCGTTCTTGTTGAACAACGGGTGTATCAGCTGGAAAAGCAAGAAACAGCGTACAGTGGCTCTATCGTCTACGGAAGCCGAGTACATGGCGTTGACAGAAGCCACACAAGAGCAGTATGGCTCAAGGCATTTTTGTGTGAGATGAAGAACGACGAAGCAGTCAAGATCTATGAAGATTATTAAGGTTCCATTGCGTTGGCCAAGAACCCCGGGTTCCATAAAAGAACGAAGCATATCGACATCCGGTATCACTTCGTGCGCGAGAAGGTTGCAGACGGCCAAGCGTTGCTACAGAACTGCGCTACGAAGAACACGATAGCAGCCCTCATGATGAAGCCGATCCCCGCTGCTCAGTTCGAATATCTTCGGGGCATGCAGGGGATCAGGACACTAAGGTCTACCGAGTCGAGTGGGAGTGTTGTAAAAGATACGCCTCGGCATGACGTTTCAGAAAAGTGTTCTGTAGCTCAGCCGGTTTGGTATGGCAGTACTATCCCAAAGGTCAATGGTTCGATACCGGTGGGGCGTGCAGACAGTGAAGGTAAGCCTTCGGGATCTGGTGTTTGGGGTTCACCAGCACTGTCCTGCCAGACAGTGACGTCCCCACTTTCGGTATGTTTGGGTGTTTAGAAACGCATGACCATAATTAGAAACGTACGACTACACTATTAGTAATGCGCGATGTGGTGATTATTATTGCGCGACTAGACGATAAGTACTGTGCGATATAGCGATGAGGAACGTATAGTCGAAGAATCCTGTCGGCTTAAAGTAGCGACAGAGTTTGTGAACTAAGGACCTAAATATATTCATTTGCATTTTACCATCTAGTGCTCGACTGCCTAAGCCTATAGCTTATGAGCCCAAGCCCCGTTTCCTCCAACGAAGACTCCGACTACGCCTTCGCCATGGACGCTGCCGCAACGCCGACCGCCCGCATCAACAAGTTTCAAGGGACCAACTATTACACATGGAAGTTCAAGATGCAGATGGTCCTGGAAGAGCGCGACCTGTGTGAGGTCACATGTGGAGAAGTCAAGCTGGATCACTGCACCAACGTGATGGCTCAATCGACGTTCAAGAGAAAGTTACGCAAGGCGCTGGCGATCATCTGTCTCGCGATGGAAGATTCGCAACTGCCGCTGGTCCGTTCAGCGATTGGAGCGTACGATGCATGGTCAGTACAAGAAGGGCATTACGAGAAGAAGAGTCTGGCGAACAAGCTCTTTCTTCGTCGACGCTTCTTCACAACGATGATGGATGAAGGTGATGATGTGCTGGAGCACATCAACATGCTCAAGACTGTGGCGGAGCAGCTCGATGCGGTTGGCGCTCCGGTCAGCGAGGACGACTTGGTGATCACGCTTATTGGTAGTCTAAGAGAGTCGTACCAGTTTCTGATCACGGCGTTAGAGTCTCGTGCTGACTCGCTAACATTGGATTTAGTGACGTCTCGTCTGATGCATGAAGACATGAAGAGCAAGGAACAAGGTGGCGGCGTCGACGGATCCGCGCACGGTAAAGGTCAAGCGTTCATGACAAGCAATCACAGCTAGCGAAAAGGAGGACGGCCTGTGCATAAGGCCAGTGCATGTCACTACTGTGGCGAGCAAGGACATTGGATTGCCAAGTGTCCAGTGAGTATCCGCGAGAATGCGGAACGGCAGAGGTCGCAAAGAGCAAGCGTCGCGCAGGTTGATGAAGACTCTGGCGTCTTTCTGTTTTCCGTTGACGGAGATAACATCAAGCTGAGTGAAGAGTGGCTGGTCGACTCAGGTGCGACTCAGCACATGACATACTCAACAGAGTACGTGAAGAACTACCAGAAGATCTCGCCAGTGGATGTGCGTTTGGCGGACGATCGCGTAATACAAGCAGTGGGAAAGGGAGACATCATCATGTCAATGAGGACAAAACACGGCGTCAAGAAATTTGTGCTTACTGGTGTGTGACACATCCCCAAGTTGACGCCCAACCTGTTCTCTGTGGGGCGTTTTACGAAGGAAATTGGCCCCGTCACATTTGAAAGTGACGGGTGCTTTGCTCAGTCGATCGGTGTGAAGTGGCAGCTGGCTACGCGCAAGGGAAAGGGCTTATTAAAGTTATGCATGACCCCACTCATGCCAGATGAGGCAAATGTGTCAATTTTAACCGGTTTAAATGGAACCAACTGGTCGTACCTCTGGCATCTTCGACTTGGCAAATTGGCCATAACGGTCTAGACTCCATTGTCAAGAAGGGCTACGGCATCGGCATCAACATCACGTCTGTGCAGCAGTGGGAGATGTGTCAAGAGTGTGGTCTTGGCAAAAAAACTCGAGCGAGCTTTATGCTAAAGTCCCCAGAGAGTGCAAAAAAGATGCTAGAAGTCATCCACAACGATGTCTGTGGTCTTAAGCATTCATCTTCGCTCGGTGGAAGCAGATACATTGTCACGTTCATTGACGAGTATTCACACTTAAGTGTGGTGTTCTTGCTTAAGAACAAGTCTGAAGTGGCTTCTAAGTTGACAAATTCGTCGCATTTGCAGAGACTCAGACAGGCAACCGCGTCAAGCTACTTCGCAGTGACAACGGCAGAGAGTACAAGTCGCATGAGATGACCAAGCTGTGCAGCAGTCGTGGCATTGTACAAAAGTTCACGCCTCCCTACACACCTCAACTCAACGGAGTGGCAGAACGGATGAACAGGACATAGGTGGAATGCACTCGCTGCATGTTGGAGAAGGTCGGACTGTCCAAGGAATATTGGGGTGAAGCGATTGTAACCGCTAAATTTCTTCGAAATCGATGTCCAACACGTGCCACAAGTCAAGACAAGTCGCCACATCAAATCTGGACCGGCAAGAATCCGCTGTTTTCAAATCTGAAGGTGTTCGGTTGTCACGCATACGTGACGGTCCCGAAGCAAAAGCGCACCAAGTTTGATGCGCAGTCAGTCTATTGCCGCTTCATAGGATACTCTGAACACAAGAAAGCTTATCGCTTTGAAGAGATCAAGAGACGTCGTGTTCTAGTGAGTCGCGACGCAAAATTCATGGAAGACGTCTTCGACAGTGGGAGACGCACCGAAAGATAAGCAGTAGATGTCTTTGAAAGTCAAGAAGATGAGAGTACACGTCATGAATGTTCTTTCGTACCAATCTAGCCTGACAAAGAAGACGCTGCGCAAGACCAAGATACGGAGCCTGGCAGTAAGCGCTACGCGCGAACCCCTTCGTTGGAACAAGCTGTGGAGATTCCGGTTCCCAAGCGGCAGAGTCAAAGAATTTTGCTCAGAAAAATGTCGGCGATGGCACAAGTCGAGGACGACTTTGAGACAGCCTACGTTGTGGATTCAGTGAGAGATATGCCGACAACGTTTAAGTCAGCGATGTAATCCAAAAACGTGGTCAAGTGGAAGGAAGCGTGCGACTCCGAAATCGACTCCCTCCGCAAGAAGAAGACATGGCAGTTGGTGCTTTACCTAATGGTCGGAAAAATATCGGATGCAGATGGGTGTTCCGTGTCAAAGAGAATCAAGATGGTGGGATCGAGCGTTTTAAGTTGCGCCTTGTTGCGAAGGGGTTCTCACAGAAGTTTGGCATTGACTACGGGGAGACATTTGCTTTGGTTGCCAAGTTCACTTCGATTAGAGTCATTCTCAGTCTGGCAGCCAAGTACCACCTTGATGTAAACCAGATGGATGTCAGGACCACGTTTTTGAACGGCGACCCGGATGAAGACATCTACATGGCGCAACCGGACGGCTACACCGACGAAGATCACGAGCATATCGTTTGCAAACTGCAGCGGTCACTGTACGGGCTAAAACTATCACCGCGAAAGTGGAACAAGACCATCGACGAGTTCATGATCAAGATCGGATTCAAAAAATGCGAGTCCGATCACTGCATTTATATTAAGCGAGATGAGTAGCGCATGATCTTCGTGGCGCTCAACGTCGATGATTTTATCATCGCAAGCAGCAGCAACAAGAGCCTTCGTGAAGCTAAAAGCTAACTAAGTGAGAGGTTCGAGATGACAGACATGGGGAAGCTCAAGTTCTTTCTTGGAATCGAGATTGAGCGGGACGAATCAGGAGAGACACTGTCATTGCGGCAGAGCACGTTCGCGAAAGACATTTTAGAGAAATTCGAAATGCCGAATAGCAATTCGGTTAGGTCGCCTAAAGACCCAGGCCTAAAGTTGGCCAAGGCCATGTGCGAAGGAGGTAGCAAGCATGAAGAAACGATGGCAAATTTCATTTACCGGAACGCCGTAGGATGCCTCATGTACCTTATGATGGGCACCCGTCCCGACCTTGCAGCCGCAGTGGGAGTGCTCAGTCAGTTTGCCTCCGATCCGTGTCCAACACACTGGCAAGCACTCAAGAGGGTTATTTGGTATGGAAATGGTACCAGGACACACGGAATTGAGTTTAAAGCAAGTGAAGACGACAGCCTTCAAGGCTACTCGGATGCAGACTGGTCCGGCGACATAGAGTCAGAGCGCAGTACAAGTGGCTACGCCTGCATGATGAATAACAGATACATTAGCTAAGGAGCAAGAAGCAACGAACGGTGGCACTATCATCAATGGAAGCAGAGTATATGGCACTATTGGAGGCTACACAAGAAGCTGTTTGGTTGAGGGTGTTTCTGTGCGAACTTGGTGAGATGAAAAGTAACCAAGCGGTCAAGATCTTCGAGGACAACCAAGGATCGATTGCATAGGCCAAGAACCCAGAATTTCACAAACGCACCAAGCACATCGACATTCGCTACCATTTTGTTCGTGAAAAGATTGCTGAAGGACAAGTGGTGCTAGAATACTGCCCAACCAAGGACATGAAGGCCGATATAATGACCAAGCCGATCACCGTCGTACAGTTCCAGAAACTTCGGACCATGTTGGGCATCAAGGCGCCACGATCTTCCGAGGCGAGTGGTAGTGTTGTAAAAGAGACGTCTCGGCATGACGTTTCAGAAAAGTGTTCTATAGCTCAGCCGGTCTGGTATGGCAGTATCATCCCAAAGGTCACTGGTTCGATACCGGTGGGGCGTGCAGACAGTGAAGGTAAGCCTTCGGGATCTGGTGTTTGGGGTTCACCAGCACTGTACTGCCAGACAGTGACGTCCCCACTTTCGGTACGTTTGGGTGTTCAGAAACGCACGACCAGAATTAGAAACGTACGACTAGACGATTAGTAATGCGCGACTAGACGATCAGTAATGTGCGATGTGGCGATTACTAATGCGCGATTAGACGATTAGTACTGTGCGATATAGCGATGAGGAACGTACAGTCGAAGAATCCTGTCGGCTTAGATTAGCGACAGAGTTTGTGAACTAAGGACCTAAATATATTCATTTGCATTTTACCATCCAGTGCTCGACTGCCTTAGCCTTCAATAAAAACACACAATGCTTTCGATAGAGTCGCCCTGTTTACACACTCCAGCATACCTGTCAAGGTTATAGTAAACGAAGACACTCTACATTAAACTTACAATACGGACATAACAAGATTATGTCGTATTGTATCCGACAGCACTTGCTATGCGGCCTCTTACCATTGTGTGGTGCCACACCACCTGATGCGTTGATTCGGTATTGTGCAACCTACATTTCGTATACTTATATCGAATATTGGTAGTAACTAGTGGCGCTTAGGATTGATTAAGGACCTACAAATCACTAGATTCGACAAATGTTTTCTACGGCACCTAGCTTGCAGCTTTTTGCCTGTTGCAAATAGGTATTGACATTATGTAGCGCTGAAATGTGAGCATTGCATAAGTCTGCTCTTTTATGGTGAACATCTGCGTGACTGTAATCAAGGGTTCATCTGGTTTTACATACTCAGACGTATCAGCGTACAAAGTATGAGTGATATTTGCATCAGGATAAGCCCTTCATATTAGCAACAATATATGCATGTGTGTACTACATTATCTAGAGTATACTAAGATGTAGGGCGTTTCTTATATATTTCAATTATCTGGAACACTTTTCATTTTTAATTATCTGGGGCATATTCTTTTTCCTATTGAAAGGGGTTGCGCTTTTTGTACTAGTCTGGGACATCTGCTTTGTTTGGTTGAATTCGTCACATTATACTTTTACGGCATCTCCCATATGATTTGTCGGTGGAAGGCATGGTTATTCAGCTGTTCACCCGTCACCAATTACCGGTTTCGACCTCGCCTTAAGTCCGATACATTTTGCACCGGACGGGGGCATCTGCTTCGTTTGGTGATGAAGCTCGTGTAATTTTGATCATCAAGACTATTATGAATTTAGGGAATTGATATATACACATCCCTTTTCCTTAAATTCACACCCTTATTTAATAGGTCGATAATGGCACCCTAATACATAACATAGGTTTTCTTAGGTTTAAAATTCAATTTATAAATTGATAACTCACCACGCGAATAATAATGGGCATCACAATGTCACTTTGTACCTACAAATTTGTTTTACATCTAGCCGAATATAGTTTACGGTGTCTATCTAAAATCGTAAATTCTTACTGGCTCCGGTTCATTAAATATACGATGCTCCTTCTAGTGATAGACCATTCCGAAATCTATAGAAGTGTCTGCTTAAAATGAGAGATCGACAGCATACTCGTCATATGGTAGCATCTTGCAAGCTGCCCGCACCCATAATAGTTCACGCTTCCGACCACAAATTAATGTTGCAACCGTCGGAAAATACGCATGAGCTTGTGTAATTTTATAAATATACCTGCGGCTTTCTGGCATCTTTAAAAAGTAAATATAGACCTCAAGCATACGTTTGTTCCACGTTCCCACCTCAAGAGCTGATCAAGCTGATACCCGTGACGTACATAGTGTAATGAGTGCAGCAATGACGTTTCAGCTACCTTGTGCCTCCAGACATTGTATTTCAATGACTACTATTACAAATTTATAGTCCAGACTGACTTAACCAGTATGGAAAAGTACCGGACGTGCATTACAGAAGCCGCGGAGAGTATCCATAACAGTTTTGAATATAGGCTTATTCTGTTGTCATGTTACAGAACATCAAAACTGTACGAGAACTCTACATGGTGTGTACTATATTTATGTAGACTGCAAGGCGACGGCCTCGATGATGACGTGTTTAACGTTTGCATGACCATCCCTTTCAGTATGACACAGACAAGTATTCACTTTCATCTCTAATGACCCTGAAAGGTGCAGTTTTGTCAAGAGAACTACAAAATCGGAAAAGTGTGTGAAATGAAGGTACGAAAAATAGTCTAGAAACTATTCCGACTGTTATACGTATAGAAACAGTACGATGAATAGGAGTGTAGTAACTGGGGACGGCAAAAAAGGACAAATATTAGGCTCAATCGGGAGGGTGTGAATGTCAGGTTTAACAAAGGGTGTTAATTTTAGGAAAAGAGGTGTGATTATATCAATTCCCTAAATTTATTGGTCAAGCGACGGAACGAATCGCCTAGAAAGGTGATATATCTGCGCAAATAGCATCAAAAATTTACTTGGGAGTACCAAGCAAATTTACTTCGTCAAAAGTTCGATGTCACCATGTCTCGCCACAATTCTTTCGAGTACGAGTGCTTTTGTCAGAAGCCTATTTTGTTTGGCTAAACCTAAATGTCAGTAAAGGACAAACTAAGGACAACTACGCATACGCTCTTTACTGCCATCGTCGCGATCTGCCTACTTTGTCATCATTGTGTACTGGCTGCTGAGCGTTCGTTTCTCTTTGTTCTTATTCGTACATGAACGCAACTTATCCAGCTACTGAGTCTTTAGTTCAGAAAGATCAAGGCTGCTCATACTGATCTCTAATGTAATTAAAATAACTTGAATGGGTTTAGAACTGAGCAAAACAGATCCGAGTAAAGTTCACCAAGGCTGAACGCGAACCCCTTTTAAACCAAACAATCACATATTTGGCATGGCTCTTGACATTTTTTACGAGCTGTGCGTTCTAGAAGAGTAGTAATCAAGGCAGGCACAATGCAACGTCCACAAGAACCAATTTCAGTGTCTTTTTGATATAAGACGCGCTGGTCACGCATCATGAGCAGTCGCCGACTGTCAGCGATATCGTGTCTTATCTATAAAAAAAATCAATGATTACGCGGACACCCATGCTGGTGGTCGACTCAAAAAGCGTTAAACGTAAAAACAATGCCAATGCGGTATAAATGGCTCACGGGAAAATGACTGCTGGCTAAATACTTGACTTCAAACAGAATCGCATTCTCCAAGCATTGGCACTGGTCCGTTCGCCACTTGTCCCTCGTCGTATTTTTAAATAGGGTGGAAATGGACCTCATAGTTAACGAAAAGTTATATGGCGACAATTCCGCACTCATCGACCGGCCTATCGCCAGCTCAGATGCCCCCTTTTCAGAATCACTTGTTTTCAATCTCAAATTTCTCAATTCACCTCGATGGTGTCCGTCTCCGAAATCATACATCATTGTGCCACGTGTATCTCATCGCTTTCTTTGTTTTGATGCTGATGTGGTACTTCAAGTTAAATGGCAACTTCGAAAGAAAGCACACATGACACGTTGTACTGCTTAAGTGATGCTATATCAGCTAAAGTCACTCGCCGTGACTCGCAAATTCAAACATCTTTGTAATATAGGTCGCTTCGACAGATTTGCAGTTTACAAGGCCCTATTATCATAAAATGACATACTCAACCACTTGTCTTTCGTAGCGTAGCGAATTGTGCTGATCAGAGCAATTATCAGGTTACCCTCGGCTTATCATTGTAGTTATCGACCTCTTCACAGCAGTCAAGACTTAAAGAAAGCACCTATTCCCAGTGCGGTTAGTATAAAATTTATATGCCGCGTACGCCCGTAAAAGTCCGGTTCTTACTGAACAGCAATCATGCGATGCGTTCTAGACTCGCAAGCAAATGAATGGTTTCTTTGAAGTTTCAACGATATTTTTAGTGTATTTAGTTTCATAAGCTAATTGTGGGGCTTCTGATGAGTCCATTCTGTTCAGTGCACAAGAATCAACACTATATTTGAGACGGATGCATTGTCGTGGACAATTATCGAGAGTGCAACATCGCACACAACTTCAACGTCCATCACATACCTCGGAAGTGTAACTGATTGCAACTAATGTATCGGCGGCGTCACAAAGGCGAAACTCCCGTCGGCGCTCACCACGCAACGGTTGCTCTGTCTTCTCCTCAGTCTCGAAATTACCATCTCTTCCGCATTCATCCTTGTCACTGCAGCTTAGCACTCGCTGTCCACACCATGCCGCACAAAGTTATTGTGACCGCAGAAGACTTTAAAGTGGCTTTCAACCCCTTCTGCTGTGTGTATGGCATCGGAACGCTCGGGATGCCTGGTAACTTCCCACGTGCCGGTCCTCTACTTGCTGCAGTCGCCATGGTCTTCATGGCTTTTGCCAACGTGTATGGGGCAGTGGCGATCTGTCGTGTGATGCCGATGGCTCCTCGCTCAGTCAAGACGTACGGTGATCTTGGCGAATGGTGTATGGGTACACCTGGTCGCTACTTGTCTGTCATCTCGCAGATGGCTAATTGTCTTCTAGTGCCGTGCGTGTTCCTCGTCTTGGGTGGAACATTCTTGGATGGACTTTTTCCGAAAGCCTTTAGCGCGACGACGTGGATTATCCTCATGGCTCTCTCGTGTGCTCCTGTGTGTCTCGTTCCAACGCTGAAGGAAGGAGCAGCAGCTGCTTTTGCAGGTTGTATGGGCACCATCATCGCTGACGTGATTGGCGTCGGCATCGTGCTGCACGGCATGCGAGGTCACCCAAGTATTCCCAAGCCCGACCTCAACTTCAAGCAAGTAGCTAGTGCTTTCGGCAATTTGGCTCTGGCCTATGGTGCTGGGATCGTCATTCCGTCGCTCCAGCGTCAGCACAGCGACCCCTCGCGCATGCCTTGGGTCGTCGGGATCACGATGTTGTTCATCTCGGTCCTCTTTCTCATTCTGGCCACCTCGGCGTACTCGGCTGCTGGCTGCCAGATCTCAGGCAACCTCCTGTACGCGATCTACCCTGACGAGACGGGCTTGACGACGCTCGCTCTGCGTCAGACTGGCGCATGGTCGTCCTTGCTTACCTTTTCATGCAGCTGCACATCACGATCGCCTTTTCTGTGATCCTTAACCCAGCCTTTACATTGTCGAGCGCATTGTACTCGGCATGCACATACCTGTCGCCTCGAATGTCGAAAACAACTTGCTCAGCTACGTTGAAGTGTCGACACCTGACGTTGGCGAGCGCTCCGAGAAACACTCACCCACGTCCTGCGTCTCAAAACGCCGCTCGATCCTTTCGGTGGCTGACAATGAAAACATCCAGTTCGATGACCCGGCGGCTGAGACCTCCGATTACAGTGGAGCAAATGTCGCGAAGTACATTGCACTACGCCTTGCAATAATTACGAGCCTTGTGGTCGCGTCGGTGCTCCTAAAGGACCACTTCCACGACGTGGCCGATTTACCGGAGCGTCTTGCATCACAGTCAACTCTGTCGTCCTGCCCATCGTTTTTTGCTGAAAAAGAAATGGAACGTTTTGCCAATGTGTGAGAGGATCCCAGCGTTAGTCGTGGTCATAGCATGTTTCAGCCTGGGATGCTACGTGACCTACGCATCAGGCAAAAACCTGTTTATTCCCAGCCACGACGACGTAGCCTTCCCATTCTGTGCGCCAGAGTTTGAAGCTACTGTGTGCTTCAACTACACAGTTGCACACGAGGGCTAGACAGAAGTAAAGCAGCTCCGGCCACCATGCTAGACAGATTTTTACCCGTATATCAGCTAACGTTGAATCATCCCTACTGTAAAGTACGCCCCCAATAGCTGGAACGCAGCGTATGTAAGCTACATCAGTCATGAGACCCTGATTTAGCGAGCCACACAAACTAGTCTCCGTCATAAGAGACCTACGTCGGCCTTGACGGTGTATGTTTATTGCGCTGACAAAAGAAATTCATTTCGCGATCCATTAATTTGCATGCGTTCTAATTATGAATGATTTAGTCGTGCTGGTTCACTGGTATTATCATTCCAATTAGATGACCACTCGTCCCAATGACATCAGAGGCGATATCATCAATACCAGCGTAAGTACTCGAAAAGATAGAGCGTACCGAAATGCTCGTTTTTATAGCCCTTGTGGCATTTAATTTACACAGAAATCAGCCGATATTCAACCTGCCGTTTCGATCAGTGCAGCAGTCACGTGTGCACCGCACAAGCTCCAAATTGTATGCTCCAATTCCACGTAAAGCTAGGCTGCCGGTTTGATGCAAATACGATAAGCTTGAGAGAGGCTTACGCGAGCACATGAAAATAGAGCACTCTGGTATATGTTTGATACGACAGAGGAAAAGCTACGTTGTATCATGCTGTCGAGAGAATATTAGACTACTATAATGCCGCAAAGCAGCTTTTCTATCCTGTCGGCTGAAATGTGATGAATACCTTCCTTACGGCTACTAAATTCCTCTCGATACCCAGTTAATGGATGTTTCTTACAGTGTGATAACATCATGCTTCCATAAAATTTGTATGTTAAATTATGAGTCTTTCACGATGTTCGTTGCAAGACAGATAAGCGATAACTGATTGTGCAACAAGGCAATTGCCAAAACTTGTAGGTTACACCATTTGTCTTGGTGTGTCATGGTGTACTAAAAAAACTCCAGGTTTACCTAACATGTCGTATCAAGTACGATCTAGTTTGTGTCCACTCTCATAAAAATACAACAGGTCTCATAAATTTGGGCATCTGCCAATTTTACAAAAATTAAGCTTATTTTGGCGCGTTGGCCAGCTTTAAATCGGGAACCGTACTTCCCACTCTAGATTTAAGTACATTAAGATTAAGGCAGGATGCGCTGCTTGACCTTTAAAATACCTTCCAGCTTTAGATTTTTCATTGACTGACAAAAGTCGTCGTTCCCCCGCTTCAATTATAGAAATTGGCTTTCGCTAGACGAGAGTTAAAAACGCAGCAGCTGTGCCGCCCGAAAAGTTCCGCAGGAACATCAACTATGTAACGGAGCATTGGGCACTTGTACAAATCTTGTACTAGTGCACTACACTGACAACTGTGTAGGTGGCGCCGCGCGTCACGTCACGTACACTTTATGTGTAGAGGAAGGCTAAGTAGTGAACAACGCGTTCAATTGGAGTTAAAGTAAACCGTTTTAACATAACTAAGTCTTGAATACATGTATCAATGATTTAGTCCTAACTTAATTATAAATTACATAAGTGTACGCTAAAGTCTCGCTCAACACTCACAGCGCGCCTCCATCGTTGAGCCGCTGCAAATGGCTAGCATGATGATCCATCTTCGACAATTGATATGTGTTTCTAAATATAACCCCTTGTAGCAGTGTTCAAGAACATTATCAGCCTTTAAGATGATATTATTACCAAAAGGTATCAAGGTTGATTCATGAGACAAGACCACCCTTATACGTATCGTTTACCGATTATTTTTAAGGTTTCGTAAAAGTTTATTTTGAGGTAGTGACCATCACTCACTGCTTTCGAACCTGACTTGTGGTGGTAGGCCTTGTGTAAATCGTGGTGGTCTGTTTCGATTAAATCGACGCCGTCTGTATTTCAATAAAAGCCAACATGAACACGGTACACATCAAGTACGTCGGTGATGAAGTCGCCTGTCCGCAATGTCACCAGCTGCTGCGGCAAGACAGGTGGAGCGATGCCTTACGCATTGTTCTGTCCATCCTGCATGGCCTAGACGGATGACCAGCTTCCAACCTTTGCAAAGCGTATTGCGCAGTCTTAGGCAAAACGCACATTTGATCGTCAGCGAAAATGCATTGGGAGCAAATCGCGTGATTACCAGATCTGATCAAACATTTTTTTAATTCTCCGCAGCAGAATCCCGTATTTTTCCATGGCCTGAAAATGGGTTGCCAATAAGCCTTTAAACGCTTCGGTGGCCTAAAATTGTATGATTATTTATCGTCTTTATCAACCAAATGATCGTTAATCGGGTGCTTGATTTTGTTCACCTGTGCCAACGATCATATCGCGAGCTGGAAAAATATCCTGGGTTAGCAGTGAGATACCAACGGCTGCATTGCGGCAAGTATATTTTATTAGACTGCCAAAGGTCCCAAGACGCGCGTCTTTTTCTAAACTCACTGCTCTAGACGTCGACGATATTTTAGCACGAATTAATATACCCAAGATATACGCCTTGCAAACGATATTTAAGCACGAATTAATATACCCAACATATACGCCTTGCAAACGATATTTAAGCACGAATTTATATACCCAAGATATACGCCTTGAAATTTATAGTTTTCGGGAATTGGATCTGCGTCTCTAAAAGGTACTTTTTCTGCCCTAAGTGCTTGGAAAAAGCGTAGGCGGTCTTAAAAATGCGCTTTTGTCCATTTCGTTTATAGCGGCCAGACTGTTACGGGGGCACACACTTGTGTTGACTGAGCACAGTAAAGAGTTCTCCCGATGTCACTTACAAGTGGCGTGAGGAAGCGCAGCAAAGTAAATTGAACTTGGAAGCTCTGTATACGAATAGAGTAGAAGGTTTTTTTAAAATTGTTGAGTTTCTTTGTAAACCATCTTTGTCTTGATCTTACTACATCAAACTTCAATCTCCTAGGTAGGTTGCTTGCTCATTCCCCATTGCACGTGTCCAACATCAATTGGTAATTACATTTGTTGATGTAGTGTAGACATCAACTAAAAGCAAAGCACCCCATAATCTTACCCTCGGGGATGGTTTTCTGCCAGCATCACCTCTTTGCTAGTGATGCTGACTACGTATAGCTTAAAAATTAAATCTAAAAACTGATACATTCATGTAGATTTTTATGCAACATATTAAAACCGTTACACCGACACACAATATCTTCCTGGTGAGGTGCGCACGACATCCGTGTTATCTCATGCGTCGTCATTCGGTATAGACTATTAATTTTTGTCTCGGCATCCATGTTCAAAATGTTGCCGCCAATAGTAGTTGCTATCACCCTGGCCCACCGTGATTCACACATGTTATCCAAAAACGGCTATATGAGTTACAGCGTGTTGTAGGCGGCGGGCCGAAAAAAACGGCACGAGAACTAGATGAAAATTAAATTGATAGCTTTTGATACAAAAAAATTAAACTCGAACGTCGAAAACCAGGACCCTTTTTTTGCGTGACAATGTCGCAAGCCAATGCAAATGATTTAGCAACCGGGTGCCATATTTTTATGCTGCAAGTTGATGCCACCAAGCACACGCACAAATTAAGCGACAAAGTAGTCGTTCAGATCATTCAGTACTAGATGTTTGACGCGTTTTATTGTTAATTGATGAAGGCTGCCATCTGGCGAAGATAAGCTCATTAAAGTGAGCTTAAGCGACGGGATTAAATATTACGGATTTTTGAATTTTCATTAATACGACCAGCTTTATTCCTTTTTATACAATTTAAGCGCGTTTAGCCTCATTCAACAGTTTGTTTTTTCTTCTTTGTTTTTTTGAAGGAAGTCAAGAAAGACTACCGATAATGTCTTCCGCTATCAGCACGTCGATTCTAAATTTTAGACGCGGACTAGCGGCAACCGACTATCCAAAATTGACGATGTCCACTATTTATAATAGTGTTTTGTGCGCCGACGTCCCGTACTAATGTGAAAGGGGGGCGAATTCGGAAGAGTCAACTAATAGGGAAGAAAAGGAGGGTGTCTACAGCACAGTCGAACAGAAGTGAATCAGGAGGAAAATTAAAGGTGGATCCACGACGATAGAGGCATTTGGGTTGTGGATTCGCTTCCTGGGAGTTGGATAAATTTCTTTCGTAGTGATGTAAGAAGTAATTCAGAAAATAGGTATGATACATATTTAGGCTACCCTTATCATCGTCACCAATTATTACTGAGAATGTAAAAATCAGCCTCTTCTATTAAGATGCCGAATGTAGAGAAGCCTAGCGTGACAGTGCTGAAGTGATTAATTTTGAAATAGTACAAGCTAACTTCACTGAAACAGTACAAGCTAACTTCACTGAAACAGTACAAGCTAACTTCACTGAAACAGTGCTAGCTAACTTTACTGAACAAGTGCAAGTTAGTGCCGGACGTCATTTCATGTACACCGTACGTGCAGAGGAAGGCTAGCTGATGAATAAAGCGATCGATAGAAGTAGAAAGTATATGTATTCAACACTGTTGTCATCTAATAAAATGTTTGCTGAGCTCTTGCTCACCATGCTTGCGCCAACAAAGACAGGCAGGGTATGCTTTTTTGCGAGAAATAATTTTTACACGTGCATGGGCTCATCTGACATTCCCAATTGTATCAATCCGACGCATAACCCTATGGTGATTAATTTATACTCTTCTATAATTGCATAATCAGTATTACGATGGAAACAAAGCGTCTTAGGCGTCGCACTCAGGATTCATTATTTTTTAGAAAGCGCTGTCGCTCACAAATTGACTTCTGCATCCTTTTAAAAAAACCTAGGCAAATGTTTCCGATCAGGTAAAGCATTAACATGCCAATCTACACTCGAATTTGGGATCCCCAATTAATTCATTATTCATAAGGATTGTAGTCGGTTTTTCTTGAGTTTCTACCAATCGAATTTTTATTCAAATCGTACTTTCTTAACCCTCATAAAGGTTATGTCAATAGAGCTACAAGTTTATTATTATTTACATCGACAGACAACATAGTATATAAAAACTGAGACATGAGCCAAGAGCACCTTGCGCGAATATAATATAGTCATGTCGTAATAATTAAGATGCCCTTTTTATCGTACTCGTCAGTTTTACGTAGCCTCACACCTTAATGCATCATAGCCTTGTGCAGGCTACTCTGTACATAACGTTACTCCTTCACTCTATATTTGCAATATCACTTTATAAGCAAAACGAAATAGTTTTTTAATAACATATTACATATTTTCCAAAAGATAACACGCCGTGTGATTGCTTTAATGACCATGTAGCCATTGCATAAAGGTGAAACATGAATAGCGCAGTGTCTGGATGTACATATCATTGCAAGTAAACAGAATATTAGACGTCTTTAAATCAAGACTTATGTGAGTAATCTGAATAGCGTAGTGCTTTTGTCGATAATTATTATCTGTTATTGCGTGTTTTTGGGGTATATCTAATGTTTCACAATAGATTGTTAACTTTCGATCATTGCTATTCATTTAGCGGTTCAGAAAACAACATGTTACATCAGCGGCCGTAGCGTTGTAAAATTCTATTAATGCATTTTTAGAGCTTCATTAAATCGGGACTCGGATATACATAAATTGAACTTAGAGAAAATAGATTAAACTAATTATGTGTGGCGAGAATAACCGAGTCAATTGGGGGGAATCGAGAGGATATTGGAAATATCACACGCCAGGAAAATGGTTTAAACAGGCTAAAGCGGTGGGTAAAATCAATAACGAGAAGGCCACCATGCTATTCGATTCTGGAGCCGAAGTCTCAATCATAGACGCCACCTTTGCTCGTAAGGTGGGGTGTGTGATTGATGACAGCCAGAGACAGGAGTGTGTGGTAATCGGGGAGAGTGCCTACATGACGGAAGGACGCACCAAAATCAAGATCTCATTAAAGTAAACGCTGGTGTATTACTTTGACGTTTGGGTGGGCGATCAAGTGGGCCAAGAAGCGATTTTAGGTATGGACTTTATGGTGCCAGCAGGAATACGGTTAGATCTGGCGGACGGTACGCTTTGTTTGCCAGATGAGGTGAAAATTCACTTGGCAGGGCGCAGGCCTCCGTATGGGGTAAACAGACAACTGATCGATATCCCAGACCAACATATAGTAATTCCTGCTGGAGAATCCACGGAGATGAGGATCGGAGCAGGTTTCCCTAAGTCCAAACTAAGGGTGAGATGGGATAAAAAATGGATGCCGACGGTGAATACTGGACCGGGCCAGATCAAGTACTTGATGCTGACCAATATCGTCGATCAGCAGGTGATTCGTAAACACGATATCCCTTTAGGGTGGTGGATGATGACGGACATGATACCCCGATCGCCGGGCTATGCATCAGTTGGATCACGCCGGTATAATCAATGGCAGACTCTGGCGTTTAAGGCTACAACGGAATCAACAAGGAAGATCCGATCGAGTATTCGAGGCACCTAGTAATCACCCGTCATACCCCATCCTAAAGAAGATTCGGACCCACAGAGATAAACAAGGAAGGAACATGGAGGGAAGCCGATCAGATCTGCTAGCTCCACAAGCAAAGATGACGGATGTCACAGAACGCCAGATCGTGAAAGAGGATCGCCCCGACAGCGACGAGCAGCGATCAATAGAGGCATCTGCCGCGGTCAATACCGCAGTGAAGGCAGAAGAGGGATATCGGTCACAGGAACACTCAGACGACGTAATCCGACAAGCACAAGATATCGCGATTGGCGATGATCACCCGGTCGGAGACGATAAAGTGCTCGAATTGTCAGATCAAAAGATACAGAATGCTACAGTACTGAATCGCTAGGGATACGTGACAGACGAGACTCAAACAAAATCGGTGGCTTATCGCCACAATAGTGGTGATTTATGTGCGGAAGATGTGGACCAACATATGGCACTCTTGCCAGAAATAATTGCGCCCACAAAAAAAGTAGCTATAGATGACATCCAGGTTGGCGATCCAGGTGTCCCGCTGACAGACGATCAGGAGAAGCTGAGGCGACTGATTTAATAGAATCGACATTTACGCATAGGCAAAGGTAACTCCTTGCCTCCAGCTGCGCGTGGAGCAGTATGTGACACTGATGTTGGAGGTGCCAAACCGATCGCGCAAAGAGTACAGCCGGTGGCACCTAAGTGTCGAGAATAGTTGGCGGACCTGATCAAAGGATAATTTTCAGCCAAGATCATTTAACCGTCCATTTCACCTTGGGCTTCTCCGATTGTGGTAATTATCAAGAAAAATGGGGAGGGCATACGGCTGTGCATCGATTACAGGAGGGTGAATCAGTTGACAAGATTGATGATTTACCCCATGCCACTAATCAGCAAATTATTACAAGACTTGGATATAGCGATGTGGTATTGTTCGCTAGACAAAGCGAGTGGTTTTTGGGTAGTAGAAATGACGGAACGAGCAAGAGCTATTTCTGCATTCATCACGCCGTCGGGTTTGTTTGAATGGTTGCGAATGCCTTTTGGGCTAAAAACGCTCCCCAGATATACCAACAACTTATCGACAATGCACTATATGGTCATCTCAAGATCGACCCAACAACTTACTCGCATGCATTACCATCGTCGACACCAACCGATGTGTTCACTGACGGAGTGCCGGACACATATCCAAGACCATCAGTTTTAGGCCGAAAGGTTTTATATCGATGATATCTTGATACCTGCTGAATCCTGGCCATCCCTGTATGAAAAGTGGAACGATTGCTAGAGGTGTGTGACCGATGGAACCTATCGATCAGTGTGGCAAAGAGTTTCTGGTGGCGCTGTAAGGTCGACTATCTAGGCCACCAAGTTTCACACAAAGGGTTGGAAGCCCACTCCAAGGATCCAAACTCAATTGCGGATATTCCCTTCCCTCGAACTCTGCGATCAATGCAATCATTCTTGGGAAGCCTAAATTACTATGGTCGTTTTATCGAAGACTTCGCTATATATGCGTCCGTGCTCTACGAGCTACGGGAAGCAGATTTACACGAGATCAGCCAAGATAAAGAAGTTCAAAAAATGGTATCCAACAGTGAACCCGATCGTGATCACGATTTGCGAAATGAGTCCGGCGACGATCTGTACCAAAAAACAGGGGGCGATCTGGACCGGAAAACAGGGGGCGATCTAGCTTCTGGAAATGGAAGTCGATGGAAGGAAGCGGTGATGGCTTTTAACTTGCTATAGGGCAAAATTGCTGAAACACCGATCTTAAGACAGTTTGATCCAGATTGAGCACCGGTGATAGACGTGTACGCCAGTAAGTGGGCGGTTTCAGCCGCATTGCTTCAAGAGTATGACGGCACATATTGGCTTGTCATTTTTCTAGTCGCACGCTGAAATCCAACGAAGTCAATTACGGAATTGTTAAGAAAGAAGTGCTAGCCCTCCTCCGAATGTTAGACATTTGTTATACGATGTTGGTTTCGCGGGAGATTATGGTGCTTACGAGATACTCGACTTTGGCTTGGCTATTGCAGTCGTCGGGTCTTAACGGAAGACTCGGGAGATGGGCGGCGTTACTATCGAACTGGACGTTAGATATTAGACGGTGCGAAAAAGGCGAAGACGAAGTGCTAGGTATGCTGGCTGCAAGCATAACACCTCGAAAGGATGTAGATGAAGTGCTGATCGCGATCGCTCCAAGGAAAAAATCACGGAAAAACATTAGTATGCCACCACCCACAGTCGAAATAGACGAAAGTGTCCTGGTGGTCAGTTTCGATGGATCGGCTAGGGTAAAGAAGAAAGGTGGCGTTTACAGCACAATAATATGGAAGTTGCATGAATGGACGATCGTGGTGGCTACTTTAGAATTTGTAGGTATTGACGATAAACGAGGCTGAATATCTTGGTCTGTCCGATCAGATCAGAGGTTGGGTGATCTTTTGTGGTGACTCGAACTTGGATATAAGACAGATGCGACGTGAAAACGACTGTTAAGCACCAGGTCTACAACTTTTGAAACATAAGGCAATAAATAAACTCCGATCGTGGCCAAAACACGAGTTGCTACATGTGAAACGGGACTGGAACCAGAGTGCTGATCGACTAGCGAGCGAGCCGTTACGTCGGGAAAAGGAAATGTCGCAGTATCAGACCAAGAACGAGACGATCTCGTGACTCTTAATCAGTTGAATGAACTACTGATACCAAAACAGACTAAACACCCAGTTAAGGTAGCCGCGATCACGCGATCAACGACGCGAAGACGATGCCCCCAGACAGTTTTACAAGAAGAAATTGTACAACAAGTCCTGATCGAACGCATAAACCAGATGCAAGATGAGGAGAGTTGGATGTCGGACTTAAAGACATATCTGATCGGGGATATATCCACGCTGAGTGCTGGAAACGCAAAGATTTGCGCACTAATCTCACCAGACTACGAAGTCGACCAAAGTGGACTGCTACTTTTCTGCCCCAGGGTGGCATCAATGAGCGAAGATCGTGGAGAGTCGATTCGTCTGGTAATTCCAGAGTTGCTGCAACAAGACGTCCTACACCACTACCATACTAGTCTAGAGGGTGGGCATCATGGGGTAGGCTGTACGTACCATCGGATCAGGGCGAATTTCCATTGGCGATGATTGTAACGGAGCGTGCAACGCTATGCTGGCGAATGTATCGATTGGGAAACTGACAAAGGTCGCCCGCAAGATCGGGTGGATCTCCAGGCAACTTGCAAGCGACGTAACCATTCCAAAATCTGGCAATGGATCATATCCCATCTTTACCGCGATCGTTTAAGGGGAATACTAAGTTGCTGTTGTAGGTCGATCTGTTCTCGGGTTACGTGATCGCAAAAGCGAGTTCGTCCCGAACTGCACAGACGATTGCAGAGAACTACGAAGAAAGCGTATTTCAAAGATTTGGTGCGAGTGAAATCATATGTCATGATCGGGATCCAGTTTTTATGTCTGAATTCTTTCGAGCTTTCAACAAAATCGCGGGGCAGAAGCAACGAGCCACAATGGCGTATCGACGTCAAGCGAACGGAACCCCAGAACGTATGGTTCAAACTCTAACGTGATCGATTAAGATGCATGTCGCTGAAGAAAGCCGGAGAGATTGGGATGAATATGCAGAAAGATTAAACTATGCGATTAATACCGCACAAGATCGAGTCGGCGGAGAGACCCCATTTTATCTGATCCATGGCTGGGAACCCCGATCGACGCTGGAAGTGGCATTACCAATGGGAAGTATCAAACCTCGCGATCGAGATCCAAGAAGATGGAGATATAACATACAGCGTCAGTATCAACAGGCAAGAGCAATCGTGAACGATCGCTATCCAGGACCGATCGGATCGTCACATTGACGACCGAAATCCGCTAGAGATCGATCAAGGGGCACAAGAGTAGTTGTATTTGGATCGCGTGAAGAATGGATATGCTCGGAAGTTAGCCCATATGTGGCACGGACCCTTTCGAGTAATGGAAAAATGCGGAGATCATGCAGTAAAATTTCATATCGCAGGCACACCTTATAGGTTGTTCCCGATTGTACATGTGTCCAAGCTAAAGCCAGTGAAGATGTTCCCAGAGCGGCCTCAAAGTCAACTCAAGGTAGATGAGTCCGATCGGGTCGATTTTGACGAAGCCTTACTACCAGAAGATAGCTGGGAAGGCGAGTTGGATGATGGTGAATTCGAGGTGACAAAGATTGTGGACGTCCGATCGGGTCGAAAGACGCGTTACGGACGAGTTCACCGTCAATTTCTGGTTCAATGGAAAGGTAATAGCGATACATCATGGGTGGATGAAGCAGACTTGAATTGTGGCGCCCTGTTACAAGAATTCGATCGCGATAGGGTAAGTCGAAATAGGTTCGAAGTGATGCAAACACACGAAGAAGAGCTAGGAGTCTAGACCAGATCGAGGTGGATGGGGTGTGTACGTGTGCAAGGAGGTTGCGCATGGTCGTACGGTGGGAAAAGTTACACCAGGAGGCGGTGTATGAAGGAGGAAGGTATGTTTGTAAGTATGTGTAGCGATCGAAGCACGATCGCGGCCCAAGAGGCACGAAAAAAAGTAGAAGACATTTCCGGAGAAATCAAGAATAAAGACAGTATGAATAAATGAAATTGAAACAAGAAATGTGTTGAACTCGATAGACTAAGGGGCGAAGAACTTACCGGATAGGCGGGGGAATTACATGCCGGGTGATTCGCGATCGAAGTCCGGTACTGATTACACCATGGCTCAGCAGAGTTCGTCAAAGACAAAGCGGAAGCCAGGTTGGGAATGTTAGTCTCCCCAGTCCCCAACCCGAGGTACCAGAACTGCTTCTCATGTAAGCGAGGTAGGTGCAAGAAAACTGGGTCCAGCAGAATGTCCAAGTCGCAATGGCCTTCTACCATTCCTTGGAGTTTGAACTTGAGTACGGCTATCCAAGGAGGTCCAGATCACGAGCGCCGCTGTTTGCGCTGATCGCAGAAAAACGCCAGCCCAGAATCTGTAACCCGATCGGCGGAAAATATGGGCAAGTTATGGGTTGATTCCCACAACGTCTAGATATAGCGCTCTTCGAAAGAGTGGTATAGGTCCAGAAACTGCTCGAACCACCTAACAGGCTGGAAAGATATGGGCGCAATCTTCACGCGCAAAGATTTCCAGGGCTCCTGGCGATAAAGCGCGGCAACCTGTGCCGAAGATATCAAGTGGGGAGACCACTCGGACATGGGAGGTGCTTCCGATACATCAGGAGAGGCTGGAAAGGGTAATGCTTGGGCCTGGCGAGATGGCGATAGAAGAACTCCAAATCCAATTCCAACACGCTAATCCAGCTCACCCGGCGCGCAGACCAAGGTGAAACTTGAACAGAAGATTTTGGTACGCGACAGTGATACCCGGGTATCCACTGATCGCGGGGCACCTTAGTCTCGGGAAGATCTTTTTACGCGGCCGAAGACTACAGATTAATGGCTGGGGCTCGGACGCCTTCCGTAACGCTGATCAGACCCTCCGAACTGCTAGAAGCTTCGCCAAACAAGTCGACCTTGGAAACCTTGGGTTTTGGCCCAAGGGAAGCGGCAACTGGGGAGGCTGGGGAATCCACATCCGGGCTGGAGGTCTCCACTACGATCAACTTTGGTAGCGTAGAAGACGGAGTCGTCGGATTACCCAACGAAACTTTACGCCGTGAAGAAGAGCGTGATCGGGAGAGTGCAGCCAAGTTTCAAGGACCAGCATCCGATGAATTGTCATCATCCGAGCTATCTGGAGCAGGCGTCTGATTGCGCGCTCTGCCTTTGTCTTTTCGAACACCAGTTCCGGGAAGAGCGGGAGTCTTGGGCGTAAGTTTTGCTTGAGATCGTGTGGAATGGTAGGGTGATCGGGAAGGGTTGTTCTTCGGGTTTTTACACGGCGGAAAAGGCTCGGCGACGATACCGGACGCAATCGGAGAATGAGTCTTGGGCGTCATCTTGACGACCGACTGCGAGGTAGCCTCAATTCTGGCTCTGTTGGTCCGCGGAGGAGGAGTTAGAGCGGAAGTACTGGGGCGTTTGACACGAGCCGAGCCAGATTTTGCTGATCGGCTATTTGTGCAGGGGGCGATTGTGATAAAGTCGATCAAGATCGGTGTCGTAAAACCTCAAACGTATGCCTAAGTATGGAGTGGGAACCGGCGGAACGATCGTGGGACGAGGACCGATCATATGGATGGCACCGTTGGGATTATTCACGGAAGTATCTCATCCAGTCAGAACGGTTCCGAGCGGCGAAAGGGACTGCGATCGTGGGACCGCGATCAGGGGACCGCAATCTGGCGTGGACCATGCCCTGATGCGATCAGACGGTTGGTGTGTCAGGTCTGTGCCACATAGGTACAAGGAGCGATCTTTAGAGGCGACGCGTGGCATCTGACTTTTTTGAGTTGTAGCGGTAAGGTGTGAGGGTCTGATTGGTTAACATTAAACAGTGGTCAATTTGCTTCTAAACACGTTCGTGTCGATCTTCTCCCGGGTTGGATATTTTGGCCTCCGACATCTGAGAATCTCGACATCAAGGATAGAACGATCACTCCTGGAGCTATTTGGCCAGGAGTGCTAGGAATCTCAACACAACCCTACTGCAATCGGACGCAGCCAACCGTATCGGTTGAAGTACAAGATCGCGAGACGGCTCAACTGGCCAGAAAGGCTCGCGACTCAAGTACACAGTTTGGCACAAGGTGATCAGGGCAGATCGCGGCGGCTCTAGGAGAGCGCCAACCCAGAACACGCGATCGGGTGAGGATTTTCCACCCGATCAGCACCAATCTCTACAACGGTCAAGTTTAGCAGCTCGTCGAGTCCACCTAGAAGAGTGCAACCCGCCCTGCCGACGGGTACACAAGGTGAAGAGGAAACAAGTGCAAGCGGAATCAGAGTACCCCCGCCATTAGTCGGTCGTCTGGGCGCCAGTGGAGAATCGGGACCCCTCAAAAAATGAGCGAACCCCACTCCACCACACATTTGTGTGGTCCACACCCAGTATACCAGCAGATGTATCTTCTTGTGGTCCACCCAAGATATCCCAATGATCCTGCTAGCGGATCGTGATCTTACTAGTGGATCGTGATCCTACTAGCGGATCGTGATCTTACTAGCGGATCGTGATCCTACTAGCGAAACGTGATCCTACTAGCGAAACGTGATCCTACTAGCGGATCGTGATCTTACTAGCGGATCGTGATCCTGACGGTGGATCGTGATCCTACTAGTGGATCGTGATCCTACTAGCGGATCGTGATCCTACTAGCGGGTGGTGATCCTTCTAGCGGATCGTGATCCTATTAGTGGATCGTGATCGTTCTAGCGGATCGTGATCCTACTAGCGGATCTCAGCTGAGATCGGACTAGCGATCCTGGGTTAGGATCGCGGTCTTCTAGTGAGATCGAGGGTCCTGCCTTGCCATGTATCATGACGGATTGCGTAATCAAAACGGGTGTGACCACCCTATAGCCTCGTCCCAGGCTGCACGATCCTGTCCACTTGTGGGTGTGGGTACGCTATTGCTAGCTACCCCTCCCGGCCTGTATCCACCAATCATAGCATTATTGGCTTAACTGAAGCGTGCGATCCGTGTGATCGCCGATCCAAGTTTTATTCAAAATTCCTTGTGACCGCTTGGTCACAATGTCCTCACCTGCGTCCGATTCACCGTCTGAGGGTCCTGCTATTTTTCCTGCTTCGCCAACACTTGCACCCTCGGCATAGGTCTCTGCTCAAGTAGAACCAGTTGCAGCGTCACCTGTCCCCCCGGCTCTCTAAAATCTTTATCGTTCATGAACGCTGGTGAGGCCGTCGTGAGCGCGCGGTCGACTTCGCCACCGGTGGATTTGGCTCCGGTCACATATGGTGTGAGGTTTCCTCCAGTTGTGACTGCTGTCAGTACCGCTCCCGCTGATGTTGACTCGGCTATAACAAAGAACCCTGCCGATGGACGTACTCCCATGAGCACACCACCCGTTGATGTGGTGGCGTTGTTTCGCCGTGTCGAGGCCTATGAGGGTAGTTTGGCCCTGATGTCTCCATCACCGCATAACTGGTCGCTTAGATGCGAGAGCTTGGAACGAGAGTTGAGAGAATCCAGCGCTATCGTGTCGCAGCTTCGTAAGAAGATGCAGCATAAGATGGTACTGACTTCGTCATCTCTGGCCAATATGCTGCATGACGGTGCCGATTCTACCGATTGACCGCCTAGTTTTCCTTTCGAGTATGCCTTTAGATCTATTATCCAGCTCTCCTCCTCTTTAGCGTTCTGGATACGTCCACTCGCAGCTGTTGTACCATCTTTCTTTGCATCTTTTCTCCATATAATTTGATGGGTGGCCTTGATCGGGTCAGCGCGAATACTTTAACTATCCGATCCCCCTCTTTGGGGACTATAGATCTAGAAGACGGTTGATCATTTTTAACCTTGACCACTCTTTCCTCGGCCCTAACTTAACCCCTCCTTGTCTGTGTAATGCTTCACGGGCCAGCTGGTCGACAATCTGGTCCCAATCGCGCTATACGTGGATTATCTCGTGGGAAGTCCACGACCGAAAGCTTGCTCAGAGCTCTAGCTCGCAACGAAGACAGCTTTGAAGCCTTGCAGTTTAATTCTCCGCGCGTCTAATAGACAACCCGTTTGGAGTTTCCACAGATGATTAGTCGCCGTCTTTCCAAAAGTTTTAGCATCTTTAAACCCAGCAACGTGATTTCTTATTCGGCTTCATTTAACGTGGATACCTCGAGATATTTTGAGGCGGCGCTTACTTCGGACCCCGTAGGCAATTTTCATGCGACAGCGCTACGAGCTTCTCCTCGTTGTTTTACATGAGTCTATCCTTCAAAGAACAGTACATATAGATACTCGTCTATTTTTATTGTGTCCGTAGGTAGACAATCTTCTGATTCTCCTGCTTTTAAGTGCGACAGCCGATGAGATCGAGTCTAAACTGTCTCAAGAAGGGTAACACCGGCCACCAACGCCCCCAGCACCTGGTCTTCGCCTTTCTTGCACTGCACAATCTCTAATGCCCACTAAGACAAGAGAGCGGCCCAATTCCAAAATCGCCCCTAAACTCCAGAGGATCTGACCAATCATGCCAACGTAGAGTGTCTCGTGAATGTTTCGAGAGGTCGGATGACCAACATCCTAAAGCAAGTTTCCAGTATTCGTAACAGCCCCAACACTAACTATTCACGGTACTGTAGTTCAACTCGTTGGAATTGAGGGTACGGCTCGTAAAGGTAACAGGCATAAATAGACATTTATGGTCCTGCACCAACGATGCAGAGATAGCTCATTCGCTCACGTCGACAATAATCACCGCTTCTTTCGATGGGTCGAAATGCCGCAAAATAGGCGCTGTAGCAATCTTTTTCTTGAGCATAACAAAAACCACTTGCACTCGAAACCATTTTTCGTTGTATTCACACGTGGTCACCGAGTGGTGAACATCTTTTAACTTGCATCGCCACGCGTGGAAGTCCAACTATCTCAGCTCGTGTAAGATCTACGCAAATTTTGCATAATCCTCGAGAAACCTTCTGTAGCAATATTTGCTTCTGAGAAACGACTACAGGGTCTTGAGAATTGTTGACAGAGGTAGGTCGACCAGTGCTTGGAGATCCTTGGGGTGAGCTTCTCTGAGTACTCTGTGGCCGAGGTAGTCGGCCCTAAGACATTCCAACGAACCGTTGGCTGCTCTAATCGACAAATTACTGTAGTCGCATACGCCCAACAACCGTTCCACCTCGTAGCTTTGAGCGTCTTAAGATTCAGTGGGTATAAGCATGTCGTCTTTGTACGACCAAAGCACCTATATCCAGGAGTTTGAATCTGTGTCTGGTCCCCCCGACGCCAAAAAGTCTTCTGGTTCATCCAACTTGTTCCTTAAGATATACGTAACAACCCCTATGACGCGTTGTCCAAAAGTCACTGGTAGATCTGTGGTGCATTCGTGAGTCCGAATGGCATCCGCAGCCATTTTATCAGTCTAAGCGGTGTTACAAGCGCTGAGATCAACCTCGACCTCTCCTTTATGCTTGCCGCCCAAGTCTACTTGCCATGTCGAGAGAGAAGTACCACAACGCACTATCCAAGTCTTCAAGGAGCTCGTTAATGCGTAAGTGAGGTAGATTATGAGTCGAGTCATGTTGTACACCAACCGGTAATCAATGCCAAACTCGGTGTCTACCCCATTATTCATTTACGACGATCACTATTAGGCTGACCCACGGCGAGGCAGATGGTTGAACAACCTTCCCAGAAGAAAGACCCTTGATAAGGTCCGCCAACTTTTCTTTGAACTAAGTAGCTACCTTTTCCGCACGCGTTATGCGATCGGTCTCGCAATTCCCACGTCAATATCGCATGTTGCACCACGAGCGGCTGGTGGTAAGGCGTTGCCTTTTCCCATTAACAGATGTCGCTTGTTCCATATGATTTGCCTTGATCGATCCGCTTCTTCAGGAGTGTTCCCATACGAATCAGGGATCTGTATGCCCTTCAAGTCGATGCCTTCGGGTGAGGGGTCTACTTCTGGTAATACTGCCCATACTTGGCTTATTTTCTCGGCTCAGACTTCTCTGCTCTAAATAGTGCACGCACAATCATCGGCTTGTGCTAGGTCCTCGTGTCCCGCTCGTGTTTCAGGTACACTGGTCTCCATAGACTGAGTGACTGTGGCTTCCATAGGCTGAGGGCCGGCGGCTTCTAGAGGCCGAGTGACGGAAGGTTCTCTTCGCATGTTGGTAATGGCTCCACTGGAATCTGCTGGGGAGAAACGTTCATCACCAAGGTGATCTGTTTCGGTTGTTGCAGAATATGTAATGGGGTGTCATACTGTGGTTTGTCCACTAATGGCCCCATCTTCCTTCATTCGGTTCAAATGATGACTGTTCTGGTCGGTGGCAGCTTCGTATGCCAAATTCCACCACTCATCGTATCTTCGAGAGCCCACAATGACGAATACTAGTGTCCTCGGTATTTTATCCTTAATAAATTACGTGCCAATCCTGGTGTCATCAGTAGCGTCGAAAACTGCGTGCTGACATTGACCACCTTCACAAATTGACGTTGGCTTATCCCTCGAATCACCGTAGTGACCCACGGTTCTCCCCTTTTAATCATATCACACTCTGCTCCGAGGTCGATCTTTTAGAGGTGCTTTCACATACCCCAACAGGTAATTGTGAATATTAACCTAGCACGACGGCGGTCAGTCTACCACCGTAACGCATTCTTCAGCCGGCCAGTTGTATACGAATTTCATCCGAAATACAGATTGCTCCACCTTTCAGGTCTAAGCAGATACCAGCGGAGACCATGAATTCCATACCCAAAATTGCATCTTGGCCTAGCGTAAAACTGACCCATACCTTGAAGATGAACACAAAGTTTCCGTTCAGGGTGATATTGATAAAGGTGCGCTCTTCTGTGGTATATATTGAATCCCTGATACCGACACACTCTTGCCTTTCAATTTTGTCAATCTGGCAACCTACCTTACGAGCAAAGGCAATTTCCTAAATGGATATCTCGGCACCAGTATCAAACAACAAAATTGCGCGATCGTTGTCGATTATTCCAGAGGCCTTGGCCTGCTTATACCATTTCGAAGAACAGTTAATTTACATGAATTATCACTTTTTTCCATTAATTTTTTTTCGGGAGCATAGTTTTTCCAATGGACCATGGATTCGCCTGGAAGTAGGTCTTATTCCATCACTGCATCTCCTCGAGCAAAGTCGTTAGGGTCATAAATGCAAGCAACATAAATAACAGGGTAGCTTCCAACCTACAATATATTCCCAATTTTTCTTAATTGAAGTATTTCCATTAAAACTCTTTTCTATTGTAATTTGTTTTTTCGAAGCTCTCCTCCACATATGTGGAAAACGTGCAAATCAGAACTCTCGACTCGTACCAGATTCCAATCTGACGAGCGTTCTAAATTATCATCTTCTCCGCCTTATCCGGCAACATCCCAGGGTGAATGGTCGGGTTGTACCATTGACGGTTTAAGTAATAAAACTCTTCCTTCAGGCACTTTTCAGCCTCTTGGGCCTCTCCACACCCCTTATACACAAACAAGCAACGATCTGTTGGGTCACGTTTCCTCGAACAACGGTCACACGTGAGTCGTTTCCAGCAATCTAATTTTTTCTATGCTTTCGAGATCCACAGTAGATTCAATTTTGGTATTGACCGGACGACGGCGGCCTAGGTCCTTTTCACCTTCATGGTGACGGTAATGTTTGGTCTCCCGATGGGTCTACCTCTTGGGGTCTTCGGACACTGATTCCTTCTGTGTTTCCATTACCGTCAAGTGAATGCGCCTCAAGTCACCTTCTTTGCATAAGCCCTCTGAGCTCAAATAATTAGAGCTCGACTCATCCACGATCGCCCGAACTGCATGTACAGATGGCCGGTTTACTCAAAGTCGGTCGGGGAGGGTAGGGGAACGGTTGCTTTTTGTCGATATCTGCTTGATCTAAAGAGTACCTTGTTTTACCACACTTTTGTAACGGGGTGAATCGTTACATAACAATTTATAAGAAATTGTTAATAGAATATAACTATAAGAGTTATATTCTCAGAATATTGTCATAAGGACAAATATTCTGTAGCACTTACGAGTAGTTCCTAATTGGTAGATATAGGCCATTATATCAACCAACGAAGACGCGCCACGACAGACGCACGCAATGAGTGGTGAGCAGATAACTGATTCACGCATTTGTATTTCGACATAGTTAGATGAAGATAAATAGTGATTTATTGCAGACATTAACTATTATAAATACAGTTCTACTTTTTACTTTAACCAAGTACTCGCTTCTTCTTACCGTCTTCCTCTGCACGTACGAGTGTACGTGAAGTTACGAGGCACCGCCTTATTCTGTCAACAGAATAAGTAGCTTGCACTATCATCAGTACAAGCTTCAGGGTGCCCCGTTACACCTGGTAGCACTTCGTAGTCCGTCCAAGGACCGCGTTCACATCCAACATAAATATGTTGGATGATGAAGATGACCAAAGCTTTCACGCTACGCGTGACGGCTACTCCCATTTGAGCGATGTCGAATGGGATGCGGTTGAACGAATGGGTTCAACCATGGGCATCCATGCTGTTAGCGTCATGCTAGAGGCTCTCAACAGAGATGCCCAACATGCTACTATCGCCAAGTTCATTCAAAATGA